CACTTTTCCTAAAATTCTCTTGTGACCATTTGCAGTAAATTCCCAACTTCCTGAATCAGGCACCTGTAGATTTCACTATTAGTTAGTTTTGCCTATTTGGGAATTTTATATAAATGGAATCACACAGCAGGTCATCTTTCGTATCTGACGTCTTTATTCAGTATGATGTTTTTGAGATGTGTCTGTGTTGTTGCATGTCAGATTCTTATTGTTGAATAGTGTTTCTTTGTGTGAATCTCCAGTTTGTTTATCCATTTGCCCATTGACGTATATTTGGGTGGTTATTCTTGAGGCATACTTGTATGCATGGCTGTTGAGTATAGACCTAGGAGTAGGATTGCTGTGTCATGGGATATGTACATTTTCCATTTTTGTAGATAATGCAGAATGGTTCTTATAAACTAGTTGTATGAATTTACATTACCATCAACAGTATATGTGCATTCCCCTTGTTTCATACCCTCAACATTTGTGTGTGTGTTTTGTTTTTTTTTTTTTTTTTTTTTGGTTGGCCATATATAGATACATGTGTAGTGTTATTTTATTGTGGTTTATATTTGCATTTTGTGATAACTAATGAGATTGAACACCTTATGCCCTTGTTTATTGACCTTTTGCTACATTTGTATCTTTGGTTGATGCCTTTTCAGATCTTTCACCTATTTTGGTTTTGGTTGTTTTAAATTGCATTTTTGTGTGTATTTCTTAAGTGTTATTTATTCTTAAGAGTTACTGATAATCTGTGGGTATAAACCCCTTGTACAGTATATCTTCTGCCTCTGCATATTGTTTTTGTGTTCCTTAATTGTGACTTTTTAAATGAATAAGAGTTCTTCATTTTAATTTAGTCAAATTTACCCATACTTTCCTTTAGAGTTAAAACTTTTATGTCTTAGGACACATGAAAATCTTCTATTTTTATCTTCTAGCTGCATTGTTTGACCTATTATACTGGGATTTATAATCTATCTTGAATTGATTTCTGTGTATTGTCTGAGGTAGGAGTAAATTTTCGTTTGCTTCCATATAGATGTACAGGTGATCTAGTCTTTCAAAAGACCATACTTTCTTCATTGCTATAGATTGACCTCTTTCGCTTAAATGCAATTGGATCTCTTTTTTTTTAAAAAAAAATATTTTAGTTTCAGGGTACATGTGCTGGGTTGTTATATAAGTAAACTTGCGTCACAGCTGCTAAGCCTAGTACCCAATAGTTATTTTTTCTGATCCTCTCCTTCCTCTCACTTCCCCTCTTCTAGTAGGCCACAGTATCTGTTGTTCCCTCTTTTGTGCTCATATGTTCTAATCATTTAGCTCTTACTTACAAGGGAGAACATGTGCTATTCGGTTTTCTGTTCCTACATTGGTTTGCTAAGGAAAATGACCTCCAGCTCTATCCATGTAACTGGGTCTCTTTAAGTGGGTTCTTAATTCTAGTTCAATAGCCTATTATCCTTTTTATCAGTAATATAGTATTTTAATTACTACAGCTATATAATAAATCATGAAACCTGGTAGAGTATGTCTTCTCACTGTACTCTTTAAAAATGTGTCATTATTGGTCCTTTCTTTTTCACATGTATTTTAGAATCAGTTTGTTAAATCTCACGTGTCCCTCCCTGTAACTCTTTTGATTAGGGTTGCGTTGACTCTACAGATTAATATAGGGGGTATTGTCATCTTTGCAACATCTAGTATTTCATATATTTTTAATTAGATTTTTTTCTAATTTTCTTGGTAATGTTTTCTAATTGAATTCTTGCAAATCTTTTGCTAGATTTAATTCTAGGTTTTGGTAGTTTTTTAATGCCCTTATACTATATGGCACCATTTTAATGTTTCATTTTGTTTGCTGATATTTGGGGATGGAATTGATATTTATATGTCAACCCTATTAGTAAGTTTGCTAAAATCATTTTTATTTTTATTTTTGTATTTTGTATTTTTATTTGTTTATTTATTTTTGAGATGCTGTCTCACTCTGCTACCCAGGCTGGAGTGCAGTGGCGCTATCTTGGCTCACTGCGCCCTCCGCCTCCTGGGTTCAAGAGATTCTCCTGCCTCAGCCACCTGAGTAACTGGGATCACAGGCACGTGCCACCATGCTCAGCTAAGATTTGTGTTTTTAGTAGAGATGAGATTTATCTATGTTAGTCAGGCTGGTCTCAAACTCCTGGCCTCCAGTGATCTGCCCACCTCAGCGTCCCAAAGTGGTGGGACTAAGGTGTGAGCCGCCATGCTCGGCTGCTGAATTCATTCTGAAACAACTCCTTTTGAGGTCGAAAAATATATATAATAAATTATAATCCCTTAAAGCATGTAATTTGATGAGCTGTGAAAGATACATAAACCTATGAAATTTTTACCACAATCAAGAAACAGAGCAGTTCTGTTACTTCTAGAGTTTCTTAGTTTCTTATACAGTCCATCCCTGTTTCACGTGCTCATATAGAATAAGTTAGAATATGCAGTCCTGCACCATGCAATGATATTTTTGTCAGTGATGGACCACAGATATGGCATTGGTCCTGTAAGAATATAATGGCTATACCATATAACCTATGTGTGAAGTAGGCTGTACCATCTAGGTTTATGTAAGTACACGCCATGATGTTTGCAAATGATGAAATTGCCTAACAACCTATTTCTCAGAATGTATCCCTGTCATTAAACCATGCATGACAGTATTTCTTACGTCTTCTTTTGCTCAGCATGATGATTTTTGACATTTATTTAGATTATTAGTTTTTTTAGTAGTTTTTTTTTCTTTCAGCTGGGTGATAGTCTCTTGGATCCATACACCACTTTTTTTTCATTTTTTTTTTTTTGTCTATTTGGGTTTTTTCAAGTTTTTGATTATTGAGAATAAAGCTGCTGTGACCATTTGTATACAGGTCTTTCTGTGAACAACTGTTTTCAATATTTTTGGTAGGATTGGAATAGCTGGGCTTTGAAGTTTGGTGAATGTTTATTTTTATAAGAAAATAAAAGCAATTTTCCAAAATGGATGCACCGTTTTACATTCCTGCCAGCAGTATTTATTTATTTATTTATTTTCTGCCAGCAGTATTTAAATGTTCTGATTATTCACATATTCTCCAACACTTGATATTGACAGGCTATAGTTTAGCTATTCTAATGTGTGTGTGGTATTATCACACATTCATATATTTTGTGATACAACTATTTACATTTTTCCATTTTGTTTATTTTATTAATTTTCTGAGACAGGGTCTCACTCTGTTGCCCAGGCTGGAGTGCAGTGATGCCGTCATGACTCACTGCAACCTCAACCTCCTGGACTGAAGTAATCATCCCACCTTAGCCTCCCAAGTATCTGGGACTACAGGCATGCACCACCACACCCAGCTGATTTTTGTATTTTTTTTTTCTTTTTTTTGTAGAGATGGGGTTTCATTATGTTGCCCAAGAAGCTGGTTTCAAACTCCTGAGCTCAAGAAATCTGCCCACCTTGGCCTCCCAAAATGTTGTGGTAACAGGCATGAACCACTGTGCCCAAGCTTAAAATATGGCATTTATTATTACTTATATTTGTAGAGACAGGGTCTCTATATTGTCATGCTGTTCTTTTTGTTCTTGTGTGTGTGCTTTGTTTTTGTTTTTTTGAGACAAAGTCTTGCTTTGTTGCCCTGGCTGGAGTGCAGTGGCACAATCATGAGTTTTTTTAGGGCTCCACCTCCTGGGCTCAAGCTGTCCTCCCACCTCAGCCTCCTGAGTTGCTAGGACCAGAGGTGATCACCATCATGGCAGGTTAACCCATTTTAAAATCAAGTTGTATTTCTTATTACTGGATTGTAAGAGTCCTTTTTTCTTGGTTTGGGCAAATCACTTGTCACTAGTATGTGACATAAATTTTAAATTTTCGTAAAGACTACATTTCAATGTTTGTTAGGGTTTTAGTTTTTTATTCTATTTAAGGAATCTTTGCGTACTCAGATGTTACAATGATTTTTCTCATATTTTTCAGAATTTCTAGAGTTGTAGCATTAAACATTTGGATCCCAACTCTACTTTGAGTTAATTTTTGTGCATGATGTGAAGTAAAAGTTGACATTCACTTCTTTTAATCATTGAGATATCCAGTTCCAGCAACATTTGTTGAAAGGGCTATTCTTTTTCCACCGCATTTCTTCGGAACTTTTTTCTTAAGTCAATGGACCAGAGATGTGTGGGACTGTATATGTGGGCTTTCTATTCAATTCCATTGATTTATATGTCTGTACTTTCAGCAATGGCACAATGATTATTAGCTTACTGTAGTTTTAGATTAAATATTGAAATTGTATAGTATAAATCTGCCAGTTTTGTTCTTCTTTTTCATTTTTCCTTTTTTTAGATGGAAAAGAGAACTCTGTTATATTGTAGAAGGCCTTCATCACCCTCTGCTTCTCCAATGTTTACCTCTGCCATTGCTGTTATCATGTTGTATTCTAAATAATTACCCTGGGATACCTTCCTCCCGAGACTGTAGGATCTTTGAAAGAAGATCTTGTGTGTATTTTCATATTGTGCCTACAGAGCCAGGCATGTTTTTGACTATTAAAAAGCTAAAGACAAAAAGCTACATAAATACTGACATCTAGTTAGTAAATCTCTTTCTTTCAGAGATATGACTAGCAGTTTTGAAATTACTCTATGTGCATACTAACATTGGACAAATATGTTTACTTACTTTTGTGAATTATAGATGTGAGTAGCAAACACTGGTAAAAAATTTCCTTTGCAAAGAAAATCTTTCTTTAAAAGTCTAAATAGAAAAATACATTTGTGGAAGTTGGCCATTCAGCTTTTTTTAAGTCAGAATTAATTTCTGAATATTGTTTTTTTTCTACCCAAAAGAATGTATCTCTCTCTAATAAATCCTTCACTTAAATATAAATCATAAATATTTTCTCATAATATTTTCTAACAATTTTAATTGTACTCCTAAATATCTTAAATATTTTCACTCATAAATATTTTCTCCTTTGCTTTTTAAGCTATTTTCGTGAAAGAAGAAATGTTGCTACCTCAACTGAAAAATCTGTGGCATGGCAAAGTGAGTCTATGTGTTTAATTTCTCCTTAAATTAGAGCTCATTTGATCGTCTTAACTGTGTTAAAATCATGATTGAGAAGGCAGCCCACCTGTGGTATAGGGAACAATGGAAATAACTGTCTGCCAGCGTTCATAGTACCTCAGACACTTTTAAAGGGGACTGAATAAAAGGCAATAAAATACACTCTGACTCCTAGAAATTTGTACATGCTAATGTAAAAAATTTTCTTTTTATGCAAGCTTCATTTATCATTAGCCACAGTTGCAGGCATTTAACTAAATTAAATGGTTTCTGGCAGTCTGAGCTACAGAACAAAGATATATGTATGGAAAGTGATTTTGCCATGGTAACTGGAAAGGGCTGTCATTGTTGCTCTGGCAAATTGAACAGTGACAGAGGCTTTTCTTTCATTTTGAAAATTCTGATTATACAAGTTTGGGAACATTCTTTTTGACAATAAGATGTCAAACACTTGGGTACTGAATCTTTAAGAGAAATTTTTGCCATAGTAGAAATGCAAATATTGAGAATTCTTTTTTGTAGATTAGTATAATTCAAGGATGGTAGAACTTCTCTTGAAATAATTTATTTACAGATGCGTTAGTAGCTATGGCATTAGAGGAATTATTTTAAATGCCTTCTGGGATTTTAAGTGATATCTAGCTATTATGTTGGTGACCTTTTTATAACTATTTATTGCAAGTTATAGAACTAAACTTAATTTTCTGCCGTTTAGAATATTTCCTTATTTAGGAGTTTTCATTATAAATGGCACCATGACAATTTCTTTTGTATGTGGGCAATGTATTTGGTTATATTAATGTGGATCCTAGAGGTTGGCAAGGACATATGTGACTGTTTGCAATTTAAGGAGCAGTGAGTTATGTCTGTGAAGCAAATGGTGGATACCATGAGTGTTATATCAAGAAGACAATGAGGAGAATTGATTTGGGGATAAGAATTAGCATAATTTGGACTCTTACAGAATAAAGCTTACGTTGTGATAATGCCATAAAAAACTCATGCTTTTAATCTTTTTTTAAAAACAGTATTTCACATTATTCACATCTTTCCATTTTCATCCTATAATTCCCCTTTTTTTTTCAAATGAGGAGAATTCATCTTCCATCTTTCCTTATGGAGAGACCTTTCTCTTCCAGAGACTAGAAAATTCCAAGGTTAGTACTATACATTTTAATTGTTTTCCATAATCAATTATTTACTTTTCTGCCTATTTGTACCTCTTCATTTTTCTCCAAGCTATTTGAAGAATGGCATTATGTTGAAGAGTGAAATTTCCAGTCAGCAAAATTTTTGTTCCGTAAAAGTATGGTAAAATCTGTATCTTTCAATATACATTATAGAAACACACTTTTATTTTGACTTCGGGAATCCAGGATAGTGAGTTTTAAAAGTTTGCCACAAGATTGGGTTAATTAAACAAAAGACAAACTCTGTAAAACTTAAACACTCTCTAGATTTTTGCTTTGCCTTGTAGCCAAGTGCAGACTTCCGAAGTGCATAGACTTCCAATTATGTATGTATTTTAATTATTTAGCTTATCACTCATTCTTTTCTATTACTTGTGCTCTTTTGCTACATTATTTCTTGGTCTTGATAAAAGAGAAGTTGGAAGACAAAAATGAATTAAATAAAAGTATATAAATTTTATTTTTGGTTAGCATCTTCTTTTGCTCTTACTTGAACTGATGAGTTAACGATTTGAATAAAATAGTGAAAAAAACATCAAAAGTCTGTTTAATGTAGACTATCTTTTTTTTCTGAAAATTGATCTAAGTAATTAGATTTATTTAGTTAAACTCAGATATTATGGATTTTTGTAGAATATTGCTACACATACAAACAAATCCCCAAACCAAAAAGCAAAACAGTATGTGTTTTTTGTTTGTTTGCTTTTTTAATAGAAGCGATCTATAAAGAATGAATTTTTGACCCAGGAAGAAGCACTCAAAGGGGAAGCAACTACTGCGACGAACTCTTTTATCATCAAATCAAGGTATGAGATCATGATTGATAATGATTAACTATTTAGAATAAACTGTTATACAATGTTGATTTTTCATTCATAGTATAATATTGTGTGTCGGAGAAAATAGTTTATGTTGATAAGTTCAAATTTTTCCTCTCTAAATGTAAGCATAACAGCACCCATTTTATTAATTGAATTATGCTCTGTAAATCAAGTAAATAGTTGCATTCTGTGGCAGATTAGTTTTGTGTTTTTCTAATGGAAACCACACCCCTGCCCCAAAGCAATACAGGTGACTGTGATTGCACATTAAAGATGAGAGGTTATGTTAATAAAAAGGAGCAAAGGGCAGTACAGAACATCACTATGCAAGTTGCAGACTTTTACAAGTGTAATATATTATTTTTATTGGAGTTTCAGCACTGGCAAGAAGCATGGCAATTATCCAGTTATTTGGATCACACACGGAGTTAGAATTTGTATGCAGCAACTTCAATTTTGTTTTTCTGTCAGCTTTATTGGAACTTGGCATACTGGATCATTACCTGATAGTTCCTTTCTTTTTCTTAATTTTTAATTTTTGAGATTACATAGTAGATGTATATATTTCTGGGGTACATAACATATTTTGACACAAGCATAATAATTGCATCATGGAAAATGGAGTATTCATCCCCCACAGCATTTCTCTTTTGTATTGCCAACAGTTTAATTAAACTCTTTTAGCGGGACATTCATTTTATTTTTGTCTTTCATTTTCTAAGGCTAACATTGTTATAGGTTTCGCTCAGTTAAAGCTAAATAATTAAACAGCTTCAGTAAACATTTGACATAATCTAATATAATGCAAAATATGAAAGGGCCAGGCTAAATTATTCTTAAGGCAGTAATCGTTTTTAGAATGCTATATCCAGAAAGATGTAATTTGAGCCCAGGCATATCTGTTTCATTGATCAGCAAAAAAATGTCCTTTGTCATTAATGAATGAGTTGATCTATTATGTCATTCCTTGAATCTGTAAAAAAATGTCTAGCAATTATGAATGCGTTCCAATAAATATTTTACATTACATACCCTTTACTTCCTGGATGTACACTGACCCTTTATTGTTTTCTAGCTAGCAGTGTGCTGTAATATTTTTCCTCATCAGCATTGCAAAATAATACTGATGCTCTCAGCAGTCAGGCGTACTCTCTGTTTTATTGCATTATAGTGAAACATGGGGTCCTTGGAGTTGATTAGAGGATAGTAGAGAGCGGTAAACAAGTGGGAAATAAGATCTCCATATAGATGAGTTAATGGTCCATGACATTGCCCAGAGAGATTGGGCTGGGCACTTAGTTGTGCTATTAAAGATGTTTAAATTGTGATATGAAGAATATACCCAGTCTCCATCCTTAGCACCTGCACCTAACAATCCAAAATAAAAGGGATAAGATTAAATTATACCTCAGAAAAAACTTGTAATAGTATTCACATATGTCATAGGTTAATGAAAGAATTTTACTTAGTTTTTCTGGAAGAGTTAAAAAAATTTTCAATAGGGTTAATTGAAACTCTAGGATTTTCCTGGCCTTATATTTCTGTTATTGGTTATTTATAAATTTTCAAAATGTCACTGATGTCTTAAATCACATATAGCACTTTGAAATGTTTACATCATTTTTCCATTTAGCATATATGATAACAGAAAGGAGAAAATAAGTGAGGACAAGGTGGAAGATATTTGGATACCTCGAGAGGACAAAAACAATTTTTTGATAGACACTGCTTCTGAATCAGAATACTCAACAGTAGAAGAATGCTTTCAGAGTTTAAGAAGAAAAAATTCAAAGGCATCTAAATCTAGGACTCAAAAAGCATTGACTTTGGACTCCGTTAATAGGCACAGTTATCCATTAAGCTCAACAAGTGGAAATGCTGATTCATCAGCTGTTTCTTCACAGGCAATATCTCCCTATGCCTGCTTTTATGGAGCATCTGTAAAGAAGGTTAAATCGGGATGGCTGGATAAGCTCTCTCCTCAAGGGTATGTACGTATTCATTTATTTCATAAGTGGCATATTTTTAAAATTTCAAGTTTATTCATTTCTGAACCTCCTGGGTTGCTGTTCCCCCACTCCACCTCCACACACACATATACACAGAGATGCCATTTTTAGAGACTTTCAGCACGCTTTTGCCAGTGCTATTCTTTAGACATAAGGAGAGAGATGTGCAATGCAATGCTGCATTAAGGTCCAGAATCGCAAATTAAAATAGAAAGTTATGACCTCACATCTAATTTCTTAATGTTACCTTCTAAGTTCGCATCAAAATGTGCTAATCTGTGTCCCAGTATGTAACAAAGAAAAACAAGACAGACTGAGTTAGTATTACTCAGCCCACACTGTTTAGCTTTTGCTCATATCATAACAGTGCTCTGTTTGAGAATACAAGGCTTATTGTAGTTAGGGAAAAGTACATCTTTGTTAGGTTTAGGTCTTCACTGTTATTGATATATTGTTTTAATTTTTGTATGTTACACAGAAGGTCAGAGTCCCGTGAATATTATACATTTCAATGGATTTATCAACAGATGTTTACAAAGAAACTTTTGTCCCTTAAGCATTTTACAGTAGTGAGAAGTCTTTGGGGAAGGATTATATTTAATTAGAATTGTTTTCTAGCATCCTGATTTTTAGATGTCTTTTTGAAATATTTACTTGAAATGTTTTTCATGAATTATTAAATTATTTTGAGATTAAAGCTTTCATGTATCAGCAGCTAATGTGGGAGTCCTACAGTGTGCGGTTGTCTCTCCTGTTCTCCTGAAATGTGTATCACTTCTAGAAAGGATTGGTTTGATCTAAAATAATTTTAATTGAAAAAAAATATCTGCTGGAAGTGGCATCAGATGACTAGTAGAAGCAGGAATTACATTTCAAAAGATAGCAAAACACCCCAAAATTATATGGTTAGTAATTATATGTTAGTACCTTATATATTTTCATCCTTTAGGAAATTTGATTTTGAATAAGCCAAAGCAGGGTACTTCTTACTATCAGCTGTGTGTGTCACTTGTTTCTGGTTACATTATGATGACAAAACCCTCTGCTTGTTCTTTTTGGTCCTAAGTGTTATTGGTAAGTGCATATTCAGATGTTGAACGTGTGGATCAGTGCTCAGGTCTGAACACTAGTGGAATGGATCAGTGAACTTGAATATTCTTGAATTCATTTCTGTAAAATCTAAGTATTTAGAGAGGTCCAAGTGCTCTCTTAAAGTATCAGTGGAAGAAGAAACAGACTTTGAGTACAAAGCCCCCAGCAGCTGTGGTTTCCTGTGTGTCCCGGGTGAGATCTCGCCCTTTACAGGGTTGGTCTGTTTATGCTCCAGGCACATTGAGAAAGTTTCACCATTGTTGGCCACCTCTGGGACAGTTAGGGTATATTCTGTCTCTCTTTTTCAGAACTTTAACTTTCCATTCTTTCTATTCTGAACCTGCCTAAGGTTAGATGCTGTAAGTTTTCTGGATTTATATTTTTCTATTTTGGGGGAAATAATTGCATTTTCTGTCCTAAAGCTCACCCCTACCCCCCCACCCAAAATACCAGTATAAATGGATATAAGAAAATAAACCAAGGAGCTTGGTATATCACCAAGAAATTTTAAAACTCTTCTATGTGATTATATTGCTATGACTTGAAAGAAGTATGTGTAGCTAGCCAAAACGCATGCATTCATTAAATCAGAAGTAGAATCCAGAATTTTTCCTTTCCTAATTAGACTCTGTAGGCTATTGTGAGGGTTTAAGATGTTCATTAAAGTAGACAAAGTGATGCCTACCCCTTCCTTATGCAGTGGTTGCTGAGCTTCATGGCCACATATCTCTTTGATGCAGACAGCACTGATTGAGATGGGATTCCGAACTCCATGTAGCAGGTGTCAACACACTTTTTCCATAAAGGGTCAGGTAGTAAATAGTTTAAGCTTTATAGTCAAATGGTCTCTGTTGCCACTATTTAACTCAGCAGTTATAGCATAAAAGCAGATGTAGCCGATGAATGAGGCTGTGGTCCAGTAAAATACAGAAGTAATAAAAAGCAGAGGTCTTCCTTAGAGGCCTCTGCATTTGTACTTCTTTCTGCCCGAAATGCTCTTCCCCCAAGAGTAACATGGCTTGAACTTCTCTTAAGTTCGTGCTATAATGTCTCCTTTGCATTTAAGCCCTGGCCACCAAATTTAATACTATAACTGTTGCTCTCCCCTGCCACCCCACCACTCCCTTAATTACTTTCTTCTACAGGGCTTACAGGCCAGATGATTTATTTATTTCATACAAGCTCCGTGGGAACAGGCATCTGCATTGCTTTTCTTGTGCTGTGATAGCCTTAGCAGAACACTGCCTAGCACGTGGTGGATGCTTAGTATTTGTTGTAGAAGGAATCTGTGAAAAACCTAGCATTAGACATATTTTCTTTTAATTTTTCTAAAACAGCAATTTATAAGAACTTTGTAATATAAGCTGCTGAACTCAACAACATATTTGTGGCTGAAAATCTCCAAGAACCATTGATAATGCTGTTATACGTTAACAGGGTAGTGAACTCTTGGTGTTTTTAATTTTTTTTTCGTAATTGTTTCCCCCTTAAAGACATGCACGTAAATTATCAAAATACAATTGTCAAAATACAATTTAAAAACTAACAGACACATTCTAATTTATACTTTTTCAAATAGTGTATGCAACTGTCTTTTGTTTAATGAATGTCATTAAACCAAATAATCACATTCACAATCTGAACTCATTTCATGTGGTTGTCTATTTACTTATGAAATGGAAATTACAATTCTGAATCAATGCCTAATATGTGAACATTGCCCAATGTACGGTTAAGAATGTAATTGTATAATACCATACAACAAAAGAAATACTGAAACATTTCCGGTTTAAAATATGAAAAGTTGCTTAAATATTTGAATGACCTAAATATAATATCCCTAAAACTAGTGGTTTAAAAACTGTATGAAAGAAATAATAAAATGTGGAATTTGGGGGGCTGTATTTCGAACAGGTCAAAGCAGATGAAAAGCTTAATAAGTGATACTTGCTTTTAAAAACCTCTCACTGGTTTTGAGGATTAAAATAAATCATCTTCTTCACTTTTTCTCAGCTGTAAATAATAAGCTTTTCAGCAGATTTGTATAGATGCAAATATGAAAGACTGGATATAATTTATTCCAACATTTCCCAAATACGCATCTCAGAAGAGAAATGTTTGAAGCTGTTGTAAAGAAAAGAGAACATGGTTGGATGTGCTGTGCCTCTTCTAGGAGATGCATAAATTAACATCTCCAAGAATATATGCAAAAGGAAACCCTTTCGAATTTTTACAATACTATTTTCTAAAGATGTTTCTGTGTTCAGCATAACACACAAAGCATCTTTATAAAAACAACTGTGTGTATTAAATAATTTCTATTTTACTTGAAATGTTTTAGGACTTTATTTCTTACTTGAGGAAATTCCTCTTTTTCAAAATTTAACTTTTTTTTTGGCCATGAGGAGTACTGATGTGGCAGTGTGAGCCTGAGACAGCTAAAGTTGATTTTTTTTTGTTAAGTCAGCACTTGGAGGTGGTAGAGGACACAGATGAGCAAGATGTGTTCCTGATCTTGTTGTAGCTTCCATTTAGGGCAGAAAATAAATGTATATGTGAATAACAATAAAACCCAAAGACAATCGTATAATTGGTGTGTACAGAGTCCTGAGGTTACCAAGGGTTGAGAAAGCATTTCTTCAAAGACCTTCCAGGAAGGAGAGGGTAGCAGTTGAATTGCCCTTTGGAAAATGGATAAGATTTTAGCTGGCATTTTTAGTAAAATGCTTTTCTGTCTAGAGGGAAAGGCAGTGATAGTGGTGATAGCTAGATGTACTTGAGGGTTGAGATAGTGAGCAGGTGGAGGTTAGAGTTATTTTATTGAAGATGGACAGTTGGGTTCTAGGACAAGGAGAGAGAAACTGCCAGTGAAAAGCATGTTCAGAGAACAGATAACTAGGGAAAGAGAAAAAGCCAATGATCGAATACCAAGAAAAGGTTAGATCTCAGACAGTGACTGGGAGTCAGAGCTCCCAGAAGCCAGTAGCCCAAGACCTGGGAGAAAATCAGAGCTTATACTGTTTGTGCCTTTGTCAGTGACTGGTTTCCGTGTAATCATCCAATCTCCAAGGCTCCTTTATTGGAAGAATTCCCCACCTGACTACAAAAGTGCTTGAGTGTCTTGGATCTCTTGGTATGCTTTTTTGGGGCTGCAGAGAAAGGCAGGTGTAGCAGACAGTTGGCAAGTCCACGTTTGACTAGGGTGTTACATATCAGTCACTTTGTTGAACTTAAAAGTGAATCCGAAATCCTTGATAAAAAGTATGTTTTCTCTTTTAATCTGAAAATTAGATGGCCGTTTCTCAAAGCACTTGCTACTGGTAAACGTTGTGCCAAGGAAATAAAAAGCTTTAATATTGTTGCAGTTTGAGGAGGGAAAAAGTTAGTTTCAGTCTCCATAATATTACCTGGTTAATTCCTTTCAGCCATCTTAGCTGCAGAGAAATGAATAGGGTTTGGAATCAGACATCATTCATTTGCTGTGTGACTCCATTTCTTGGAACCTCCATTTTTCACATAAATGCGTGAGGTCAAGACTACCTCTGTGAAATCATTTGGAAAAGTAGGTAACTTTGGGCCTCACTCTTAACTGATGCTCAATAAACCTCGATTTTCTTTTTTTTTCAGAAACACATTTTATTGCAGAGTACCTTAAATAATGTTACTGTGAGTCCCAGTCAGTTCATACTTTGATAAGTACAAGGTAAAGAGATCATGTGTTCACACTGAACTTTCAGAATTCAATATTTGATTGTTATAAAAGCACATAGTTTATGTGTCAGAGAGTAGTACATAGTTTATTTTAAAAAAAAGACATGGATGCAGCTGGAAACCATTATTCTCAGCAAACTAGCACAAGAACAGAAACCAAATACTGCATGTTCTC